CGGGTAACACAAACCCATGACCAGAATCAAGTGTCGGTTATCTGGACGTAATCCAGATGGTATTGCTAGATGTACGGTACATTCATGAGACTTCGTGGGTCTTCTCCAGCACGTGTAATCGATCCAAAGACGTAGAAATACGCGGTTCGAGTCATCACTCGACCTTCCACTCGCCTGAAGAATTTGTCAGACTCTAAGGTGCCACCACCACATCGATCGTCACATTCCTAACGCAGATCAATCCCACGGTAGCGTTAATACATTAGACGACTGAACTCGCCGATGTGCTCTTCGTAGCAATCATCATTCGCCTAAGCTGGTCGTTGGATGCCAGGTTTTGGCCCGATGTGTGAAACCTCCGATCAACGTGAAAGTGGAGCATCATGCATGTTCGATGATGGAGAAGGCGCTTTCTCACTCTCAACTTAAGGTGCCGTTTTGCTCTCCGCTCATCGTCGCAAGTCGTCATCGACGCGTTTCATTTCGTGTGGGATCACAAATGACTGATCTTCGGAGTACAGAGTCAGATAAGTCTGAAAAAGGTTTAAAGAAAATATGGGTAAGCCTACTCTTTAATGAGGAGTGGATGGGATACACAAATACTTTTGTGTAAGGTGAACATTAACTATTTATCCTGCATAGTCGTATATTCCTTAATTTCTCTTATTAGAATTGGAGGCGCTTATCAGTTAAGGGAAAATTCAAGGTATTTTGGCCATGATAACTGTCACTTCGCTCTTTTCATCCTCGTTCGGGTAATTTGACGACTTGCTGGAAGTGAGCATCACTCGGTGAAGTGTGTTAGCCGATTAAAGTCTTCCCCAGTATGTTCGTGTATACGGACGGGCAATTCCCGTTACATGAAATCACTTCGTAGCAAAATCAAACAGCCTTGGAGTTATGGTGTTAAGGAACTTCCTCTAACTCCACGGTCTCTTTGCCCATTTGCTTTGGATGCGGCTCTCTTCGATAGAAGTCACGTTTCTATCAGACCATTTTTCGCGAATGGTCAGCTGCTGACATATTAAAGTCAGTGCTGAATAACGTGAACAATGCCTTCTAAATTTGCTGTAAAGCGTAGATTTGTGGTAGACACAATTTCTATCAGCAAACCACGTTGGAAAGAAGCTTTCTTCACATGAGCAAGGCTGAACATATACCGTTGACTGTATCGCTGACAGAAAAATGATGACCCACCTTGCTCAAATCCACAATGCCGGCCAGTATCACAGGACACGCGGCTTGGTAAGCCAAATAAAGGCTACATAGATAGAATGTCAACAATCTGCTGAAAGTGTTAGGCTGATCGAAGGCGCTGCTAAGGTCTAACCCGCCAACACTATTCGCACGCTCACATATCGCTTGTTTACGTTTACATAGTGGATCACCTATACGTGACGCTTATCAAAAGCTATGTTCTTTTTTTTCAAAATGGCCACACAGAGGCTTATCATGTGCTTCGTGCAGTTTTATGTACCCGAGGTCCTCACCGTGCGGCACCACTACACGCTAATTGTCACATGAGAAAGTGCTATTATACAGCAAGCCTTGGGACAAGGCATAGTGAGACATAGGAACGGACCTGCCAAAATAAGGCGAAATTCGAATTCTCAAGCTCCTTGCTTGCCAAAAATACCAGAAGCCCAGCACATGTTGCGTCTAACCTGGATACGGTATGTATTGATTTATCAGTTGGTGACGTCACCAATGCGAAATAAAATAAATCGTAGTCGGGGCGACGTAAAAGCGCATTTCTCAACGCCTTAAAGCAACGCCCGCTGTTATCTTACCTCAGGAATATAACCGACAAGAAACATTAACGATCTGCTCGATATGTAGTAACAATCTTGCTGTGTGCAATATGTGTACATCATAATCGACTTAAAGCCAAGCGAATCACCTTGAACTATATAGGGCCATAATTTACAGCAAGCAGCTCCTTGTCGTGAGCAGGACTGTTCTTCTTGCCAGCGCTAAGCAGGCAAGACGCAAAAGCAAACACGCGTTCATGTCTATTGACATCTGGTTATAGCAAGCACAGCCTATTAAAAAGTTCAGAGCGCTAGAGCCGATGTGGAATTGCCGATCTAATTCTGGAAGAGTTAGAATCTGGGGATACTAGGAGCTTTTTGTTACAGCTAAAAAATGTTCCTATTCTGCAGCACCACGAGACCACATGACGTTTTCACAAAGGGAATTTTGAAATCATGCCGCATTGGCATAGTTTGCGCGGTAATAGTATAAGCAGTCGACTAGGATAGCCACTTTTGAAAGTCCTCTCAAACAAGGGAATTGACCAATCTACAATGGGCATAAATTCGAGAATCTTTCAGCAGGCAATGCTTTTTAATGAAGCAATTTGGAAGGAGATTCTTTAATAGCACGAAGACCCACGTTGTATATGTTGGCGTATAGTTCTTCATGTGCATTTACCGAAGCACCGTTCGCAAGTGTTTGGCGTGGTCGTCTTCATCTGACATCATGTGCTCTATACTATTAAAAAATATTTTCTCTAGAGGGTCTGTAAAAAGCCACGATGTAGCCTGAACAGTTTTGTCACCAGACTACTGAGCTTCGCAAGTCCATTAAATAGCCTTCAAGAGCGTCTCGGTTGAAGTAGTTTTCGGAGAGGGGGGGGATAAGTCTGCAGTGAATGATGGCCATTAGCCAGATTGAGTTAACCGAACAAAATGCAGCCAATCATGTTGTTCTGCAGGAAAATATTTAAGGAATCATTTACGCCGGTGTATTGTGGCGGCAGTGGGTATATCAAAATGATGTATATCCTACCGCTTGCCGTGTGACTTTCTAAACGAAACAGTCGACGCCAAGTAGAAAACTTATTTTCTTTTACCTGACATTTTTCGTGCTTCCAAAAAAAGCGTCTGTACTGTTACATTTTGCCTTTGATTAGAACCATATCCGTGTGAGGTAATTTTAGATAATTTTAGAATGCACCCTTATTTCTGTGGGAGAGACGCGGGGTGGGTGTCTCGTCAGCTGGCGTCTTTTTCCTTCGGCAAAAGATAGACGATTTCGTAGAATTTTTGATAATTTCCATTTCACTTCGCAAAATCTGTGCCTTGCTGTGTCCTCGGTGAAAACCTCATCCTTAACGAAATCCTAGCTCATATCTTTCTTCGGTACCAAACGTACCATTTTGGCGACCTCACCGTCTCGCGATTCTTGCACATGTAATTGAGATATCAATTAAACAGCCATATGAGAATTTCCGCTGCGAGTAGTGGTAAAGGACATACAACACCCAGAATAACCCCGGTTTCTCGACTTACGAGTGAGCAAAGTTTCGTTCCATGCAACCGCAGAACTTCACTTTTCCGCGCGGTCGTCAGACGATGGTGCTGACTCAACAGTACCGTTACGAGGCAAGGATAGTACGTTATTTTAATTTCAGCTCCCGATATCATCTACTCGCGACATAGCGATGTCCATCAGCACATCGGCTTTGGCAAAGTATTGTGCGACAATCAGTCGATTTTACTCTCCACCGGTCCTGGCACCTTTGACAATACCTTACAACTGTCTATTAGCGTCCCTAATAAGTACACGACGTAGGTCGTGAAATCCCGAATAAATACAAATTCAAGCCAAGGTTCGCGGCATTTTGTCGCTCTCTTTGGTTTATCCTAGTAGAGTTTGGTAAGAGCTCGACGGTGCCCAGGACGTCGGCTTAAATTGATGCTTCAGGCCATCAAATTGCATGACTTGTCAAAGCTCAAACAGAAGACACCTGCAGTTTAACTTTTTTGACTTTCAGAAAACCAATGGCTTGTGGCTCCAGTAACGGCATGCCTAAAATGTGTTCGTATCCAGACTCGACTTGACAGCGTATCGGTTGGTCAAGCTATTTAAAGTTCACGTAGAGGTTTGACATAACCTTCAAAATTTTACCGACATATTTGTCGCAAGACGCAAGAAAAATCGTATCCGTATTTGACGCTCAAAGCGTATACTCTTCTCGGTGGTCGCGCGTTCTAATCGGACGACGCTCTCGAATCTAGAGTCGCTCCTTTAAGGCTTAGTATACTCAGCCAGAGTGACAATGTTTATACTTTAGTGGCGTGGGCGCTCTAGCCCCATCACGATGGGATCCAATATTTTTTGACCGTCTCTCGTCTAAGAAGCTACTGGACGTGCCTAATTAGCGCATGCGCATAGCTGGCGAGCGCGTTCAGGAGAGCAACCATCGCTTTCGGCCATTCGACCGCCACTTCACTGACCAGCAAATGATACTGGACTAGCTTGCCCGCGGAAAGTGTCCATGTTCAATGATCGCAGAGTGTGCAGTCCTTTCACGAAACAGTCGTGGGATTGCCTACTTGAACTACCGTGGTAAGCGGGATTGTCGTGAATTCTACACACAGGGTTGTTTGGACTCTAAAAAAATACGAAGAGGTTGACTCCTACCAGGGTCGGAACCTGATAGGAGCCAACCTCTTTGTACAGACATCTACTTCGCTCTGTAATGTCAAGAGAACATTCATTTAGATTGAGTGAGACTTATACATATGTACCTATTTTGTATCCCTTATAATGATACCGTCTTCATTTTCAGTTGTACGAACCATTACCATGAACCTGTGTGATAAATTTTTACCATCGTCAAAGTGCAATGAAAGTTTATACATTGGATTGCTGCTGCGTTTTCTTAAGTTTTTTATGTAATCGAGTTCCGCCAGCATTTAGTTAAGGACAAATATACAGATTGTGATTGGCGAATGAGATATGTAATAATTAATAATTATGGTTGACAATTGGCAACAATGATTATTTTACTAGTGACAAGTTATATCTGATCCGATTGGAAGAGATAACACAAGATACCGGTACAATGTGTTTTTGTTTAGTGTTAATAACTGGTACCATGTTTCTCATCCATGGTATTCTGAAATATTAGATATATAAATTATCACATAAATACAGCCAAGAATCCAATATTTAGTACCGATTAGTCCACTTATAAAACGCAACCTGTTGCTCTACACGTACATCTCACAGTGTTGCAACAAGCCAAGCACACCCATTGCAAGGCTAAAGAAGTGAGATCTACGGCGTAACAAATGTTGAGAGAAATATGCCGGTAAGCGTGTAGCTCCCATCCCGACTAGACATTCAGTATTAAATTTCTTGTCTGGGTGGGCTGTTTTGTTAGTTTGCCTCCGCTGTTGACGAGGCGTCATGTGAGTAGGTACTGGATTGAACAAATTATTTTGCTTGGCCTTGTTGACGTAGTGAATGCCTTGTGGATAAGGATCGATCAGTGCCTTGCCGTTCAAATAAAGGATCTCTACTGTCTGTGCCTCAGGATTTTGGACTGGTATAAACTGCAAGATACTACCGCAAAGTGAATCAGGGTGGTTCTTCATGTCTTCGTTAGGCATTGAATCCACCACGCTGACACCCCATGGCGAAAAAGAGTATGGTACTTGTGCCAACTCAAAAGCTAACCAGTATGTCTCCTTGTCACCCCACGAGTACTTAAAGCGAAAGCGCTCTTCTGTAATAAACCAAAACAAGATATTCATGACTTTCTTCCCAGCTCGTTTCTTGTCAATCAACACCATTGATGAATCCATCTCATGAATCGACATACCCTTGAAGGCAAAAGTGTTGACCAGATGATCGGAAGGACTAAATCCCTTAGACACATTAAATTTGGCGTAGTCAAACTTGTGCAGCAGTCTATGCAGGTACATTTCTCCGTCGTCACCGCCTGTTAAAAAGCGCTTGCCAGGTCTAACTCGGTCGTAAAAAAAAGTAGTGCCTGTCTGCACATATCCATCAAGGCTACGGACAACCCCAGGATCTCTTAAGATGATATCATCCACGTCCAGCAGCATGACATGGCGCACGTCTGTGTGGTACATTGCTAATGGTTTAATCCACCAATTTTTAAATGTTTTTGCCATCTCTGCTGAAATAATTCCACGAGATGAAAAGTCAGAGCAAACATCAACGAGTTCCACACGGTTATCCAAGTCAAATAATAGTTTTACTGATTTATCCGACAATTCTTCTTTTCCACAATGATAGGCTTGAATAAGTTCATAATTTCCGAGACACCGTAGCTCTCGAATGAGCGACAGTCCCATGTAAAGCATCTTGTCGTGGAGACATACCACAATCGAACGCTCGCGACTCACCGACAAATTAAAATTATCTCCACGCCTGTAGAACGATGATATCGGATGTATTGTAGTCATTGACTGGTTAGCGGACGCTTCAATGTTTGTTGCTAGATCAAGATGCGAACGATTGAGCGGAGTAGCCCGAAAGCGATGAAGTTGACCAACAGAAGCATTGGTCACGAGAGATAAGTTAACGTAGATTGTTGTCCCGAGGATTATCGTCACCACCACGATTAAAAGATTGGTCTTATGCGTGTTGCGGGAGAAAAAGGTGAAAGAGGTCTGTTGGCAAGTTGATACCATTTGATTAGAAGTGGAGGGAGATGAACTAATTCTAAAAAATTGTACTGAATACAAATATTATATATGCCACATATTCAATACCACTCATTCTTTTTACAGTTGTACTGGTTTTGTTCTAAGAGCTAGAGACTCGAATACCATCTGTGAACAAGGAGACTGGCATCTTACTCTTGCTCACATTGCACTCGCTGTAACAAACTTAGAAGTCGTCCAAGTCCATTATCATTATAATTCTGAGGTAAAAAAGCGTCCTTACAACTATATTAGATAAGCTGGAGCTCGCCAGGTCACAATATCGCTTGCATCTTGGATCTGACTGGCTCATGTGATGGCTCGAGTTTTGTAGTCAATATTTGTGTATTGCAAAGAAAGACGTGGCTTCGAGCATCGTGATGAACCATGGTCAAGTCCAAGAACTGTTCAGCTCAATGGCAGGAACTGTCGTGATCATGTGCTAGATGCCTGAACTTAAACTATGGTTGCGAGCAGCAAATTTATCGCTACAAGCAAGATTTATGCACATCTATCACAGCCACCGACTGAGGGATTTTTTATCTAAAAGATCATTCGATCCCCACCCATGTTGTATTGGATCATCTTGCCTCTTTTTTAAAAGATAGAGCAATCAAGGGTACTCCAAGTCGAAATTCATCGTGGTACCGGAGTAAGCTTGCCGAATCTGACTTCTGGGGGTTCTGCCCATGGGTTAATAAAGATCTGGCCAAACAACTTTCTTACACTCATTAAGTCTTGCTGTAGAGGAGATTCATACGCATAGGTGAGTATGGGCTCCGCACCAGTACAATAAGTGCCTTCAGACGGTTTGACCGTGACGATTTGGTCAAGAGTCAAGTAAGTAGCCCAAGGTTGTAAAATGTGTGATGGGCTGGCGTGAGTGTTACGCTTGCTGTGGAGCAATCTGGACCCCTTCAGCTAGGTCCAGTTCGTTAATTACGAAATAGACATCGTAAACTCATGTGGTACAATGGGATAAAATACTTAACGGTTCAATTGTACGAAAACCACATTAATTCATGTAATTATGAATATACGTGACAACCAGAATATCGGTATGATGGGAATCCGAATTGGATGGGTCCGTGTACACTTTGGCTGCTAGCCGCCCGTCAGGGGGAAAAGACAGCTTTATGATGATAGATGGTAAAGTGTATGTATTTAGTCCGGCAGCATTTGATCTCAAGCATTTTCTCTCTTGAAAAAGTACAGCAACTTAGGCAGAGGTTCTCGGGTCTGCTCCTGTTTGAGCGCAACTCTGGGCGTTTATGTGGACTATTAAAGTCAAAGCCGGTCTCATAAATCCTTTGCTTCTTCCTTATGAAATTAATAAATCTTGAATTAAATCTACTTTACAATCGAATATTATGTTTCTCATAACAAAACACTATGTCATGCATAGCGTCCCACGAAAGAAATTAGTACTTATCATGACAATACTTCACCTCTGTAATTCTGAGCTTTACTTTTAGTCCTAAGAAAAAGTATAATGTGTGCGTAAATTTTATTAGTATGATTTTCTTCTTTCTAAATATATCACTCAAAGCAAAAAAATATTACCTGACTTTTAGCCCATTTTCAATAGCGCGGACTCAGAAATTTCTGAATGTGATGTGCTCAGCAATTTTTTGCAAATGTCTTCGTTGAATGGCCTATTATTTCACACCCCAGAGATCGATCAATACAATATCACGGAAAAATGACCAATGCGAGCTTCCGACTCTCAAAATTAAAATACCAGCTTAAAGTTATCGTTTATACAAGCCCCAGTTGAATCTGTAATGTGCATGACAGGAGTGACGAAGACTGTGCCACCCCGTCGAAGCCGAGTGTTCCTACTTCTTGTACCACTCGTAGTTGTGGGGGTCTATACACTCATTGTGGAGACAATGACGCTGTTTGGTATCCCTGGCGATAAACTACTCGGCTTACATCGAGCGTTCGGATTGACATGGCGCAATCGCTTCAGAAACGATCTTCTTCCGGAAGAGGTCGTCGCCGAGAGCGATTTGCTGCATCTTAGTTTGCTGCACGAAGTTTGCATCGTGGATATGGAAGCATCGTTCTCATGGCAGTACGGATCTCCCGGAAACCAAGATACAGGAGGTACGGCAAACAACTCAGAGGTTCTTTTACGCCGGACAGACAAGAATTTGCTGCAAAAGCTTCGCCAATGCCCAACTGTCGACATATTTCTGCCAGAAAATGCGCATAGCAACAATTATTGCGAGGATGCCGCTGCTTATGTCAAATGTACGCTTTTATCTTGCTGGTGCCTAGGGATCATCGTTTAGCTGATGACATTGTATCTCATGAACAGATCTGAAGTCGCGGCTGCTACCTCAATGGATACTAGAAATTAAGTTTTTTGACGCAGAGTTAAAGCGCGAGGTGGATTACTTTGATTTATGTCCAAAAACACCTATGCTTTTCTTTGATCATCACTGGGGGGTATTCGATCGTGAATGGAACGGAATTTTGGCGTCTCCTCGGTGGCCAAAAGACAAACCTATATACATGGTTCCCAACATTGAAATGGTTGAGCTCACACCAAATCACTATTGGGATGTAGATGTGGTGTTGTGCAAGATCAAAGAGTGCTACGATCGAGTGACAAAATGGTATGAACAGGAAGGAAGTCCGCGTAATACGAAAGTATTATATACAAAGCACACGTCGATCGACCCTACTGTATTCGTACGCAAACGTTTAGGTGAGTATAGTATGACGGACAAGGACTTCTCCACCGTCAAATTTTACCATATGGCTGGTAATAGCACTGCCAAAGGAACAAGGGAAGTTCTTGATTGCTGGACATACGAGTCAGACTTACCTCCACTCGCCGTATATATCGATCGCGCAGTGTATTATAAGCTTTTTCAGGCCTCTTACAAGTTAACGATTGCTCGCAGTCACAGTCCGGTCAATATTCACCTGGGCATGCTGGATCGCTTAAATTATAGCAAAATTGTTGCTGATGCCTCCTTCGTTATCAATCCAAGCTACAGTGAAGGCTACGGTCACATTATCAATCAGGCACGTGCATCAGGGGCTGTCATCATCACAAATGATTTACCGCCTATGAACGAAATGATTACTGCGAATGAATCAGGAGTGCTGATTTCGGTGACACCTGTGAGGCACCCGTGGGTAGTTTTAGGTGGCAATTATGCGGGAAGGCATGGCTTGAAAGGAGTCGGTGGGTTAGTTGCCTCTTTTGAAAGCTCAGACGTTTGTGAAGCAGTTCATCGTATGATGCAGCTGACCACACCTGAAATTCGTTATGCTATGGGCTTGAACGCCCGACGACAGTATCATTCAGATACCAAGTTTTTTGCCGATATCATGCAGGAAGTGCTTAACTTTGCAGCAAAGTAAGCGAAGAGAACGGCGATGAAGGGATAATTGCACTTAAGCTTTTGTGGAAATATAGGTCGATTATTTACGTACAGCTGGGGACAAAAACGTCGTGTGTTCATGCCTATCGACTTAACGAGCTATGAATGACCAACTGAGTCACAACTCATAAAGCAAGACCAAGCCTTGAAAAGGCGCAAGGTAGGCTCAATGTAAGCTGTAAGTTCCCCATCGCAGAGATAGTGTCTCCTTTAAGCGGCACACATGCGCATGATATACAAGTGCTTGCTATCTACACAACGTAAGTTTCATCGAAATTAGCGCGAAGTGCCGCATGTGATTATTCATCATTGGTATTAGCGATTGCAGGCAAAAATAACATCGATAAAATATGCTGTCCAAAATATGCTTTTTAAGGTTTGTCTTAACCCTTGATAACCGATTATCTCGACCAAGGAATGTTCTCTAAATATTATCCAGGAGCTCGGATAAGTTTTGGGTCAATGGGTCAGATTGTCATATAGGGTACTAATGAACGACTGTAGCCCTTTCCAATTTTTAGATTAAAGTATACGTCTTGCAGCAATTTCACTCGGATGTTGTATCCTGCCTGTCACGATGACGAATTCTAGAATGCATGTTGACCAGCAAAATATTTTTCTCCATTTTTCTCCCTTTGCGGCCTAAAAGTGGGAACGCGCGAACCTATTATGGTCTACGCTTGTAAAAACTCTCAATCTGATCACGTCAATAACCGAATTCAGCTTTTCCGGATGTACAGCCACAATGAAGCTTACACTTTGTCCGTGGAACGATAGGATGTCCGAATTTTACTGGTCTTGGCATGGGGTCCAAAGTCGATGAAGTCTAGTCAGACAGATCACATGATGCGTACTTGCCCGGCTAGCGAGCAATAGAAAAGAGTGTACCTTTGCTTCACACAGGCTTTGAGACTCCGCTTAAGTAATGCTGGCTTTCGCATCAGTCACGTCCTGTACAAGTTCGATCGTCATTACTTCTAATTTGAAAATCCCGTTGCTAATTTATCCGTCCATCAACTGGAAAAATCATCGTCGCTTCTCTGTATCAATAGTATTACCGTTATCTGGTGAGCGATAACAGTATGTATATATCCAGACGGCTAAATACTTGGTAAGTAATGTCATGATGTACGTGATCAAGAGTCCGTTGGGGGTCAAGTCGTAGGGAAGCTTAAAAATGGGTGAGTGCACAGAAAGCGCCTAGACTTTCAGAGTGCGCGCTAATATTGCACACAGTTTGTGTAACGGGTCAAGTTCGCGAAATTCACCCTTACACATTCGTAAATTTTCAAAAGAACAATTGTAACAAATCCATATTTGCACTTGGTGTTTTTGTTTATGTTTATGAATACTATTGAAGCAGTACACCTCAGAAAAAAGTTCAGATTCTTATTAGAGTTAGTGGCATGCATATATTTAGTATCAGTCTAAGTTACGAATTTACATGTCCTATGTACATAACATAGCAAACTTATATATTTGAATTAGTGTTAAGGCTCTTGGTTTACTCCTGATAGATGCACACGAACCCAACGTCTGTGTGTTTGTGAACACTGACTCTGATAGTCTAAGCTTCCTCCGTGCAAGGTGGATAAGAACTTGGAAGCACTGTCAACAATACAAAACCCGAGTCTGGAAAAACAGTGTCCTAGGTGAGGATGGAACAAAAATTAGTCCGAGGCATGAGTCCAAATGGGATCATGGAACTGGCGGTAAAAAAGGACCGGATGGTAATTAATTAGGCCCCTTTCAAGGCCGCCCCAACCTGGCGCCGGTAGAAAAACATTCAACCTGTGGGACCGTAGATGTTGATCTTCTCGACCTCTCAGGGTCGTGGAGAAATTGAGATAACCAATCATTCGGTCTTGCTCCAAGAATAGTGACAGCAACTTGCGATGGAGGCCGGAGGATAGAATGGGTACAAACGTGCGATATCTCGATAAAAGAGGCGATCACAACGTGGGCCAACTTCAGGCGACAGATGTCGCTGGGTATCCTTACCACCTACAAGTACAAACACAGTTCTTGTCTTCCCTTTAAGAGCGGACTTAGTCCAGGTGTGAAGAACTTTCATCGCCGCAATGGTGTCTGACCCTTTTTTTCAGGTGGAAACAATAGCATCGTCATGCTGGAATTTTAAAAATGATGTGGCCCGCCCAAAACCTAATGCTTTCACCCTACCTCTGTTGAGAAAGCGGTGGGCCTCGCGCATAATGCGAAGTCAAACTTTAATGCTGCGAAAGTTGGATAATTGCTAAAAATGCAAGCGCCACAGGCGATGAACCTCGACGATGCTAAAAATTGAGATTTATCTCTTAGCTGAAAACCAACATAGCAGTAATCGCAGATGATTTATATAACACATTCGTTTCATGCATATCCCTTTTTCACTTTGCTTAGAGGGACAAAAGGTCGGGCTTGAAAACAAGAACGTCAGGCAAATCTCCCAAAAAGAAATATCAGGTCCTGGTAGGTGTGGCCGGGTAATTAGAAAAGATGTCACTCTTAATCATATCCCGTCAATTCAAGGCAGTCGTGGTCAGCTACCCTCTGCTCTCAAACGATTGAGTATCGCTAACCGAGGTGGGGCTCACAGTCGACAATCATTGACTACAGACATCGACGTCCCAATATTTGTGAGGTAGTGAAAACTCCTTATAAATTTAATAGCGCCTTGCAATTACGGATGCCGCAGAATTATCGAAACCAGAAGACAGTTTCCGAAGGCATTAAAGATGCCAAATTTAATCAACGATATCTGTGCCCATTGCGATAGTCACGTTGGTTAGACTTTCGAAGTTTCGGGCAAATCGAGGGAAGCTAGAAAACTTTAACAGTATGGAACATTCAAGTTTTCGAGATATCGTGACATTTATGGCTAGTACAAAGCTGCGATAGCGTCCACGCAGGTTATAGGCTCGTCTGGAACGGATGACAATGATATTGCTAGGCGCGTCGAATATAAATTTGAAGGCAGAATCGGCAGTAAGCCAAAATCTCAGACTCAGACGGGAAAGAATTACTATATGCTGTGGTCACAAGAGTGGGTCAGCAAATAACTTATGAGTCATGCTGGGTGGAGAGTGGATGCGACTGCACTCAAAATCTCCAGCGCCACAGTCAGTGGATTTGAAGGGCGACTCTAAGACGCGAGTCGAAGGGTCAACTTCTCAATGGTTTCTGCTTGTCAAGATGCGAAGGTACTGACAAACCACAAGAACTTATTTTTCACTGAGTTCCGTACCAAACCAGCACTACCAATTGAAGACATGCCGTGCAGAGCAGTACAGCTCCCCGAAAAGTGGAAAAGGATTACACACCTGTGGTCGGGGAAGTCCTCGGGTTTAAAATTACTTTTCCTGCAAAAGATTCTATAGAGCTATTACAACAATATTTGGCGAAATGTGGAAGAAAGTGCAAGTCAGTGAGGCTAGCAAAACGAACTGCTCAATATAAGAAGAGGAGCTGAGGTTATCATCTGTCAAGCCTCAATTACTCATTGAGCGATTCAAAATACTGCGTGTGTGGAGTAGGTGAAATTACATGTTCTCTAAGACCCAAAATACATTGGTCTTTAGTGAAGAAAAAATGCATTGATGTGACGAAAGGTCCACCACATCCCCTCGGATTAGAAATGTTTATAAGAAACCGAAACGATTCCCTAAACCAGATAAGCCGACACACGGCGATGACCCTACCTTAAAAAGGCTATTGGTAACGGGATAATTGTGCAACGTATGATAAATTAGATGCAGCAACTATGCCGAGCAACGGTCTTCATTAAGGTAAAAAATATCAGCATGATCGGCATTACAACTTGCTCATTAACTGCTGATGAGTGATATTAATACCCTTTCCACCGATGTAAATACTCCAAACGGGATGCTCTGGGAATTGCTAATGCAACAGCGGCGTTATGGTACAGCTGTTCGGGTTAACTTGTTGTTAGGAGCAAAGCTGCTTTGACAAGTATCCATCTAATGTCACACAAATCACAAAATATGGGTGCAAAAAATTACATTATGCAATTGCAAGCCTTGCTTGGATGCATGCACTTATAGGCAAGTCTGCCTCTGGCGCCGAAAAGATCCTCTTTCTGGGCAAAACAAGATATGCTTTGATATCTCGTGGATCTAAAGAAAACTGTAGATTGATCTATGTTTTTGTCTCAGAAAGACCTGAAAAAGTGACTCGGCTTGGCCAGCATTTGCACATATATAGTACAAGTTTCTCAAATATGGCTCAATTTCTCACCCAGCTATTGAAAAGACGGCAAATGATGTTGAGATGCGGCGGAAAAACAGATTTAAATGTTAAAGAAAGCCTTATGTGCGCCTCAACCCGTCTCTCTCAAACTCAATTTGCCTACTCTACGTTGACACTTCGACCTATGCAATTAGCCGCGCTTTGCTCCTAATGCAAAATTGACTTGAAGGCTTGATCGCGTTTGAGACTTGCTAGCTTGATGCTTTTAAAAGAGAACCTTTCCCATTGAAAAAGCAACCCACGAGCAAGTGCTTACTCGTCATGTTCAGGGTGCATCTGCTGTTGGCTTTAAATAGTTGAAAACTTAAACAGATCATACGTCATTGCGCATAGAAACGTTTCTACCACCTCTCATATACTTATCTCTCGCTTCTAAAATACCTTTGAGGGAAGGTCAGGACCAGGTCGGTTTACTGTGATGTCGGATGCGCTTCGTGTCGTCAAGTCTATAAATTGTCACATGACGTCGCTAATCAATAAGGCAACACTTAATGCGTCCGGCTCCGACATTATATATATTGGAATACTAAAACTTTTTCAAAGCTAGAAAATTGAGAGTTTATCTAAAAGCAAGACTATGCGTCTGCATTGCTATGCCAACTATCAAAGCTTGCTGTAAGATCACACTGACCCATGTAATACAAAGAATGTAATGGTGCATCATGATATCAAAAGTACAAAATGCCGTACAAGGCATATGATACCCTTATGGGTCGCCACCTCCGAACTAAAGACATAATCCTGAGCACTAAGTATTGGTGGTCAAAAGTCATAGATCAGTAAGATTATATATGCGGGCTTGTGTAGCGTCAGATCGAATGAGACAGTTGAGACACGCGGCGAGATCTTCGAACGGTAAATTTCCATAATCATGAGTTTTAAAGTCGGTCACTAGACGATGCGTATATTATTGCCGATATTATGATATTTATGGACCGTCTGAGCAAGCCGTTTTGTATTTCTGTTGTCATCAATAACGTGACCGATGAAAATATAGCATTATATCCGATAGAGATCCACAAATGCTGATAATTTTTTTATAACTATATATGACCATCTGGATATACATTACTAGTTACTAACATTGTAAATGTATTCCGTCGATACAATCGCACAGATTGAATTTGAATTGAATAAAGAGGTTCATCTTTTGCAGGCATCACCGCACTAAACATAAATATGTTGTTCATCCCCCCCAGTGCCTTTGACACCGCCACAAGTTGGCTTCGGTACTAGTATAGGGGCTGGCATATGCAATCGACTTGCAGAGCTCGATTACACATCAAAGCAAAATCAGCGATTTTATCACGATGAGGTTGAGCATTACGCGTAAGTTCACGATGCTATATCGACAGTCAAAACAAACAAAAGCAACACGTCAAATTCAGAGGCAGGTGGAAAACACACGAATATTTAGTGGGGTAATAGGTCAGATTACAAGAAGTTGACTTAAGTACACATGCAGTGTTAGCGGTCTGTAAATCCCAGATGCGACCGCGCTACATTCGACCGTTCAAGGCCGTAGCATATACATATACCCTGGCTACCCATAGAAATTGCAAGCACATCCAGTTGTTTTTGAACGAGCTCACTGATGCGGAGGTTCCATTTTTACAAGCCAGTGGGCGCAACAGCATCTCCACCATCAATACCTGAGCTGTTCTCTGCTTCGCAATGTGACGGTGCTGAGCCGTTGGGGGTGCTACAAGCCGGAATGTCTAATGATAGCTTAGAAAATTTTCGTATAAAAAATTTTTAAACAGATTATAACGAAAGCCGTACCTTATGGCGGGAGCCAACGTACTGCCACAATTGAGACATCGCAAGAGATCTTGCTGAGGCAGGGTCTCCCCCGTCGGTACTGACCGATGATCAGGGGGTGGCCAGCTTTCCTTAGTAGTATTTGGTAAGGCTGACGGGTACTACAAGGCCGTTAAAGGTACTTGTCGAAGTGAACATATTACCCTTGAAGGTTTGCGCTAGTCGAGGTTCCACTATCGCGAGATTCCTAGACTCCAGAGCCGCTTACTGTCTGGTCCACCGTCAGCCTTTATCTCCCTCGGTCAAAAAGTAGGATTGTCCAAACTTGCGTTGAAACCTCGGTCGGTTGCTGCAACAGCTGCGTCGTGGAGACGAGCGGGGCTGTAAAACAATAGGTATTTGGAGTGATTGGTTGTCACCTCGACGTCCGCCCGCTATTTACTTTGATAAGACAATGCTTAAATGAGACAAAATCTCTGCTGGGGCAGACTTGCAAGGCAGTGAGACGGGTAAAATCGAAAGTTCTCTCACCCAAAGCGCAAGCAAGGTCGGGTAATCAGCGGAATTTTGCCAGCTTGTAGGATTTAAAGTACATTTATCATATAGAAAAAGGTCTTCGCCTCAAGCTTGGAAAAAATTCTGTATGTGGACTGAGATAGCACTTGCGGAGCAACTTCCTCGCGATTATTTTGCTTCGAATGTAGAAGGAAGGTTTAGAGACATAGGCGTGAATGAGCTCCGCACCAAAGCGATAGACACCGTAGGACCGTGATGCAGTTAGAACGAGGCACAAAGTCCGAGGCTCTTGCAGCGGAGAGCCCAAGCGCAGTAAACACCTTTTTTTGGAATTGCCAGGCCGTGTTTTGCTAGGCAAGAGCAGGTAAATTAAATTGAGTCCTGGAAAGTCATTGGCGCTGCTCGTTGGGGAGCATCCCGGTCTCCACACCGCATAAATATTAAAGGGCCTTTGCCGTTAATGCTACGCCACACTCGAAGGCTTATCTATTCTTGTGAAGTAGGTGACTTTAGACGCGATAATGCTCTTGGAAGCTGAAAGTGTCAACTCTATGAAGTGGGGCGAAACTCCGTCGGCAGTGATGTAATATTAGAAAATGAACAATAATTTTTAGTCGAAGCATTGATCCAAAATTTTATTTACTGCAAGAAATTAGAGTATACATTAGACTTAGTTGTCTGAAGAGCTCTCGGTTCCACTCCCAGATGGAGCCCAAGCGATCTATCTATGTGTTGTTTTGAGCCAAAATATGGGAGTGAAAGCATCCTTTGGACAAAAACACTTCAATTCCGTTGTAGATGGAGCTCATCCCCTAATTTAACCGAAAGCCGCCTAGGTACCTTTTAAATTCTTTTGCATAAATAATGTTCTATTTGTATTTGTATTACCATATTTATGGATAAGAAAACTGTTATTGCTATGGGTGCAGCTAAGATCCCACGGGGACTACCGACCTTTCCGTTCATTTACATTAGTACCAACACTTCGGCCCAACAAGATATCTGAAGATTTACAAAAAGTAAGATTCAGATTTCTTATATTTATAAAAAAAGTATTGTATTTGAACAACTAGATGGAGATGTAAGGTGTACCCACAACATCGTAGAAAAAGTTTGGTTACAACCTGCTTGCCAAGATGTGGACCACATTTTGACTCGTAGATTTATTGCTTTCTCGAAAACTGCGCTATAGGGGTCGCTTCTAGATCACCAACTGCACTCGATTTCCAGACACTCTCTGCACTATACCGTGTATGGTCTTCTGGAAATTCTTGCACTAAACATCAGCACTTGTGCAGCAACTTAACTGGCTCAACAACCCCTCGCTTCATGCGTCTTTTCGCGGTTGACGCGCTTATAAATACTCTTGATGCAGATACCAAGGTTTCGTCCAAATAGCATTTTCAGCAAATACTCAAGTCCCGACTGAAAACCTCTGCAGTCACCCAGAAAAAAAACAGATTCGAGCCGTTTACCAACGTGGCGCTAATCTTGTTCAACTTCCCTTCACGCGCGGATTTCCGATTATACGACTTGTCCATAGGATAAAAGTACTTTACAAATCCCGTCGTAAAAGCAGCACAATCTTCAATTTAGTTTTATTTGGTGGGTCTGGTGCAGGAGCGAAGCTTGCTCTACTGCGATCTAGACGCTGGTCACCACAATTTACGATCATCATTTTTAACGGAAT